TCAAACCTTGATGGTGAACCCTTGAGACAAGTATATTTAATCACGCTGAAGGGGCCAACGGAGCACTCGGAAGGGCAGGAGTCTTTCACAGCGGCTCTGGATGAACGGCAGGCCACCGTCCGACTGCTCATCCCACCTGCCATCCCCAGGAGGAACTCCCAAAGTGCAGTGTACTTTCCAGAAGACTTGAGACATAGGAACCCTCCTGGGCGGGGGCAGGACCGTGGCATCTGGTCGTGCATTTTTAAGCAGAAACCCTGCTTGCGAAGGGTTGGTGGTTTGGCTCTAAGCCGGGCATCTTGCTTCTACAGGAGGGGAGACCCCTCGGCTGGCACCTTGCCCAGGCTGTGCAATGCCCCAAGGAGAGCGGAAACACAGACGGGGAGCCTCTCCTGTGGGCCGTAATTCGGCAATTAGCCAAGAGCCCTCTTCCCCTTTCATCAAGTGGGGGATGGCTGTCTGCAGGAGGAGGGCTTCGAGCGGGTCTGCAAGGCCTTCCATCTCCTTCCCCCAGGTGGGGAGGGGAAGGAGGGGTCATTCACCCCTGTGTCCACGGGGAATTCTGCTCCATGGTCAGCACCATCAGAGAGACCAGGAAACTACACTTCCCATCGTCCGTGATCATCTCTGACATCACAGTGCCATCTGTGCTCTCGTCGGCACCGTCGCCCCCTTTCCTCCCACGGGGAAGTCCGGTCACTGACTGCCACTGGTGGGGACCATAGCTCTGCCCACCCTGCATTTGTAAGCTTGGGAAGTGAGGCCAACCCCACTGGTTTTATGCATGTCTGATCTCGTTTCCCTTTCTCCTTTTAATCTTAACAAAGCAAACGCACGAGCAGGGGGCTTTACAGCTTGGTCGAGGGCAGTCCGAACACAGCACCAGGCATGAGGCAGCTTACATAAAACATGTGTTCTCTCTCTCTCTCTCTCTCTCTCTCTCTCCCCGTGCTGCATGGGGACATCTGAGACCAAGGTGTGGGGCAGGGTTGTTCCTTCCCGGGCCCCAAGGGAGAACCTGTTTCTGTCCCCTCTCCTTGGCTTACTGACAGCTGCCATCCATGTCTGAGTCCTCTTCTCCTCTCCTTATAAGGACATCTGTCACATGGGATGAGCTCATCCTAAGGGCCTCACTTTTACCTCTGCAAAAACCCCTGCTCCAAGTAAGGTCACCTTCTGAAGTACCGGGGCTAAGACTCCAACCTAGGATTGTGGGGGGACATAATTCAACCCATAACCAACTTGAATGGCTTTCATAGGGCACTTAGTCCACCACCGTGGCTTATAAAAGGGGAAACTGAGGCAGGGAGTAGGAAAATGGCCAGCAGCAGCAGTAGCTCCCATTCCAAACGCTCACTGGGTGCCGGGAACTGCGTTGAGTGGAGTCCGTGGGTGGCTCCAGCTCAGCCCGACGCCCACCCTGGAGGCAGGGACGCTGTGCCCCATGATGCCAATGGGGACACCTGCAGCAAGAAGGGTGGGGAGCAGAAATAGTCTTGGGATGTAGGTGCTCATCACTGACTTGTCTCCTCATTTGGTGAAGTTTTCTGTGGAACGATAGCTCCCTGAAGCTTTCTCTAGGTCCCAGACTGGCCCGAACTTCTCCTCTGCACCCCGGAGCCACAAGGCACGTGTCTGTCCTGCCCCCGGGCATGCCTCCGGCCTGGCACCTGCCCCAGCCTCCAGGATTTCCCTGTGATCCGAGTTACCACTTCATAAAGAAACCACTTCCTGCCAAGATAACCCAGATTGCCAGTGGGATTCCAGGAAATTGTGGGAGGAAGCTGTGTCCTTAACGTGTGGCAAGAATCCTGACATGTCTCTGTCCCCGGCCACATTCAGTATTCTTGGCAATGGCTGCCACTGCTGTCCAGAACTCATGCCGCCTTCCTTACCCCTCCACCCCCAGCTGTGTCTCCCCACCCTCTGTGTCGCTGACATCCAGACACTGACAACACCCAGAGCTTGCCCTCCACATATTCCTAGGTCCCAGACAAGGAAACGGAGGGGTTCCATTGCTCTTCCAAAGCTTGGGCAGCAGTGGGCCAGGGAGTCAAGACAGCCTGAGGATCTCAAGACTCCAGGTCGGGCGTCCCATATCACCCTCGGGCTGGGAAGGAGAGGATCAGGCAGGGTTTCTGATTCTCCTGGGCTACAGTCCAAGGTAGAGGGCATGTCAACAAAAGGAGTATTTAAGCAGGTGGCCCAGAGCCCAGGGTCAATGACTAGAACATGAAAGGAGGCAACGTGCTACCACCAAACTAAATGCATAAAAAGCAAAGGTGAACTTGTTAGTTGGAATAAAAATCACTGGCCACACTGTTCCTTAAATATTAGGACTGATGCTTCTGTTCAGCAGGGGAGGAGTTAATCCAACGTGTTCTACTCCTTCCAGAAGGCAAGAGGCAGTTGTGGGAGGAGGAGTTGTCCACACGCCCGCAGGCCACTCATTTCTACACGAAACTGGGACATGAAGATGCCGGTTCAGTGCCCCTCCTGGGACATGGGATCAGTTCATCTCCCGAGATGGTAATCTTGGCCTGGTCAGTCCCACAGACCCAGAGAGACTTGGTCGTGCCTTCTGGAAAATGCTTCCAATGACTTACAAATTACTACCTTTTCCCATCTTTGCATGTCCTTTTGGGACTTCGGCTCTCCTATCAGGAAACACCTGATTTGGTAGAGGAAGGAAGACACGTACAGGTGAGGGCTGTTAGACCGGGTGTCAAAAGCTGGGCTGGGACCCCGGGTTGGGGATGACCGTTCTCTTGCTAAGGGCTGGGCCCGCAGGCAGCGAGAACCCCTCCAAGTGTGTTTGTGTTTAGTGGGGAATGGAATCTAGCGGCAGAGTAGGGTGTCCCAGGTCCTAGGATATGACCTCAGTTTTTTCCATGGACTCTAGCCCTGGGGTCCCCGGCTGGAGGCCCTGAGCCCCACCCGACTACCCCAGCAGAAGCAATAGACACAGGCCCCCCTCATCCCCAGCACGTCCTGTGTTCATGCCTGACTAAGACATCCACCCTGGGTCTGGGCCTGGTCACCCGCAGTGGAGGCCCAGGGCTGGCCACGACACAGGCAGACCAGGCATCTACCCCGGCTCTGGGAGGGGGAAGCATGACTTTTGAAATTCGGGAGTCAGGAAAGAGCTCTTCACGGCCATCCAACCCGCACGTTCGATGAGCTATCGTGTTGGTGCTTGTGTTTTGAATCACTTCAGGGAGAGATGCCGGCGTGTCTAACAGCCCCTGCAGGACCCAGGGACAGCCCAGGGAAGCTCTGGACTCTGCCAGGACCACAGCTGCCCAGCTCTGTGTTCCCGAGGCCTCTGCGAGGGGTGTGCATGTGCGTGCGTGCCTTCCTGGGTGTGCGTGCATGCCTTCCTGGGTGTCGTTGGCGCTGGGACTCGTGCTGCAGGGACCAGGCCCCCAGACGGGTGCATGGAGCCCTCTAGGGGGTGCCAGCCTGGAGGGAAGCCATGCTACCTCAAGGTCATTTCAAGGAGCCAGCCAGCTGATGAAAGTGAAGGTGTGGCTGGCGTTCCCAGAGCTCCTGCCCTCCCTGTGGCAGTAGGCAGTAGTTTCAGTGGACAAGGAAGCTTCACAGGCCACCACAAGCCTGGGCCCTAGAATCCTGTCTGGGAGCCAGGGGTTGGGTGTCTCTGTGTGGCCTCTTGTCCACGGACAGCTCTGCCCAACAGACCTAGTATCTGCCATCCCCCAGGAGATAGGCCACCGGTGGTTCAGGGTGGTGGCCTGGTGACTTTGTGATCCCCCAGCCCTTAGCCTAGAGGCTCCCCACACTCCTGGCAGTGCCCGTGGACACGGTAAAGGGCTCCAAAGCCAGCAGCCTGGAGGTGCTGGACTTCTGGCCCCCACGGAGTTATGTCTACACCAGACCAGACCCCAGCCAGATTCTCCTTCTTAGCTGCAGACTGTGGCCCTTCTGGGGTTCCTGTACCCCAGTACCTTACATGTACACACAGGTGCTCCTTCCTCAACCTCCCCCTGCAGTGTGTACAAGACTCCGAGGGACAGGACCGTGGCCTGTGGAGCCCACAGTTAACACAGGGGTTCAACACAATCTGAGACTTCGAAGAAGCAGGGGACGTGCGTGCGGGTGAAAGGTGGTGGGCAAGGCTCCTCAGGGCCCCCAGGGGAGCGCTGGCCTCGGACAGAGGGACAGACATGGGATGGACACAGCCTGACAATGGGAAGTGGTCCTGAGAGCAGCTCTGACAGCGGGGGCCTTGGGGGACATAGCCACTGAGAAGCCGGACGCACGGAGGGACCGAGGCTGGCATCAACCGCTGTCCCAGGCCTGGGTCTGTTGCCCTCGCACTGTGTTAGGGTTGGTAGCTTCTGGAATGGCTAACAACGACCTAGGACATAAAATGCCTCGCATCCTTTCTTGTCCCTTCTAAAGGGAACCGAATGTCACTTTCTCAAGCCGCTCCAACTTTGACAGGCCGATTCCGTGCTGCGTGGTACAGAAGAGGAGAGGGGAGACGCGCTGCACCGACATCTTTATTATTCCTGGGAGGGGAGCGGGGTACACAGCCACGTTGCAGTCACCGAGCTTGTTAAAAATATCTCAATAAATAAAACAAATAAGCAACATATACACTGAAACAGAAAATATTTTAAAAACGGTTAGCTGAGCAAATCATGAGAAAGAGAAGAGGCGAAGAGTGAGGAGGGTTCCAGGCTTTCGTGGAACAGTCATGCAGAGGCTGGGGGGCGAGGGAACACGAGGTTCTTTTTCTGAGAGCCTTGGTCCAGTTTAAACAGAAGGTACAGGAATGCATTTCTGTTTTATTAAAAAAATATACATTAAAAAAGGCACTTAGAGGGAAATACAAATCCAAAATTTCAATCCTTGTAAATATGTTCCTGAATCTAGAGATTTTCGGAAAGAATAAATCCCCCCCCCCGAAAAAAAAAAAAAACAAAAAAAAAAAAAAAACCGAATCGCCGGCAAGAAAAACAAGTAACCCTGGCAAGAAGGACCATGAGTGTCGCGTCCTCTGTGGGGACCGTCTCTGGGGCAGGAGCTGTGCAGTCTGGGCTCTCCCACTCGGTGCCGCTGCTGTCCCCTCGTCCACACGCTGTGCTGGACTGCAGATGGGGAGGCTTCCTTGAGGTTGTTCAGGTTTCAGAAGTGACAGATGTGGAGTTGTCCCAGTTCCACTTGAGCCTCAGCCCCACAGGACAGCCTGGAAGACACACAAGAGGGAGGGTGAGACATCACCGCACGTGGGGTATGCCTGTGTGGTCGTGTGTACGTGTGTGTGGTAGTGTGGTTGTATATGTGCAGTTATGTGTGTGGTTGTGTATGTGTGTGGAGTGTGGTGTGTGTATGTGTTTGGTGAGTGTGTGGCTATCTGTTGTGGTATGTGTGTGTGCAGTTGTCTGTGTGGTTGTATATGTGTGTAGTGTGCATGTGTGGTTGTCCGTGTGGTCTGTCTGTCTGGTGTGTATTTTTATGTGTGTGTGTATGGTTAGGAGTGTTTTACGTGTCTGCGTGGCTGTGTATGTGTGGGCAGTATGTGTGGTGTGTGTTTGGGTATGCGTGGTTTTTGATGTAGTATATGGGGTTGTGGGTGTTATATGTAGTGGTTGTATGTTGTTTGTGTGTCGCTGTGTGTATTTTTTGTGTTATGTATGTATGTGGTGTTGTTTGTATGTGGTATGTGTGGTATGTGTGGTTGTGTATGTCTGTGGTGTGGTTGTGTGTGTAGTATAGTTGTGTGTATGTGTGGTTATGTGTATGAGTCTGGTGTCTGTGTGGTTATGTGTGTGTGGCTGTATATATGTGGTGTGTGTGTGTATTGTGTGTGGCATATGTATGTGTATGGTTGTGTATAGTTGTATGTGTGGTGTGATGTGTTTGTGTGTGTTTGTGCATAGTGTACTCTGTGTGTGTGCCTGTGTGTTTTTGTGTGTATGTGTGTGTGGTTGTGTGTGGTGTATATGTGGTGTTGTGCATATGTATGTGGTATATGTGTGTGTATGGTTATGTGTGTATGATATATGTTGTCATGTATGTGGTGTGTGTGTGGTGTGCATAGCTGTGTGTGGTGTGATGTGTGTGTATGTGTGTGATTGTGTGTGTGGTATGCACAGTTGTGTGTGTGGTTGTGTGTATGGTGTAACGTGTGTTTTTGTTTGTGTGTAGCGTGTGGTGTGTATGTGTGTGTGATTGTGTGGGTGGTGTGTATGTGTGTGTGGTGTGTATGGTTGTGTGTATGGTGTAACGTGTGTTTTTGTGTGTTTGTGTGTAGTGTGTGGTGTGTATGTGTGTGTGATTGTGTGGTTGTACGTGTGCTGTGTATGTGTGTGGTGTGTGGTTGTGTGTGTGGTGTGTGTGTGGTGTGATGTGTGTTTGTGTGTAGTGTGTGTGGTTTGCATGGTTGTGTGTGTGGTGTCATATGTTTGTGCTGTGGTGTGTATGTGTGGGGTGTGTGTGCAGTCCTAGGCCAGCTCATCACACAGCGATTCTAGCACTCGCCTTTGTGATCAGGATAAACAACTTTCCCACATCCAAAGGTCCCACAAGGGGGTGTAAGGGTCGCAGGAGCGTAAGGGCGGCCGTGCCTGCCCGCGGCGTGCACTGAAACCTGCACAGTGCGTCTTGCCGAGTCTCTCCGGGGGCCGCAGGGGCATCCCCTCCCACTCCACCCTGTGCCGTGGGACTGGCCAGAGAGCTACCAGGTGGGGAGCCCACCCATTGACCAGGGCCATGCTCCCCACGAAGCCTCCTGTCTTCCTGTAAGGAGGGTCTGTCTATCCGGTTGACCCTGCAGCCTGGAAACAGGGTGGGGGTTCAGACAGAAGGCCGGATGGAGTAGCGCTGGGTCTCTCTAGACCCAGCGGTGGGGTCCTCAGACCGCACCGGCTACCGTGTGTGCCACGGGGCTTGCTGAAGAAGACGTGCTGGGAAGAAGCTCAGGTGTGTGATGCCCAGACTTTAGAGACTTGTGGCTGTTGTAAGCCCAAGGTCATGAGTTCTGGTGGAAGAAAGGGGATAAGACTGCTGGGCACGAATGTGTGGTCAAGGACTGCGACACCTGCTGGAAAGTTCGTGCACCTGGGTGCTGAAGAGACTGAGGGTCCGGACAGGTGGGCCCCACACCTTACTCCGAGGTGGCAACTCGTGGCTAGGACAACTTCCCACCTGTCACCAGCTGTTCCGGGGGGCAGTGGGTGGCTGATCGCCTAGTCCTGCGGGACCCCAGTCCTGCGGGACCCCACTCCTACAGAACCCATGGCCAGTTTGCAACCAGCCCTGAACCGATAATATCCTTCCCAGGAAAACCCCGAGCTTCGTTAGTGATTCCTTAAGACTGACTGGTGAGCCCTTTGGTCGCATGTGGTCTTTAGTGCCTAACCCACCACCTGATGCACATGGCGTGCGCAGTTCTACGTCTGGAGAACAAACACAGAAATAACCAGAGAAACTTCATAACCCAAGCAGCCAAGTCCATTCACCGAGAGCCCTTGATGGCTGCCCTGGGCGGGGGTGGGGGGTAAACTGATGCTGAGATGGGAGGCTGGCAGGGACCTGTGGGTGGGGAGGAGTCAGGAATGGCTTTACCAAGGAGGAGGCTGGGGGAAGGGTCACCATGAGGAATTTCCCTCCAGGACAAGAGGTCAAGGACAGTCAAGCCCAGGCTCTGGGACAATGATGTGGAAAGGTATGAAAACACAGAAGGATCTCTCTGATACAGTGACAGGTGACATCTTCAGCAAGGGGTGTGTGTGTGTGTGTGTGTGTGTGTGTGTGTGTGTGTGTGTGTCCCTGATCCTACTGGGCCCTGGGCAGCAGAAAGCTTCCTCCTGTCTCCGTACTCCCAGCTCTTTCCTGACAGACCCCCCAGAGAACTCCAGAAACCCCTGCCGAGCCAAGACAAAGGTCTGAGAACACACACTGTCCCCGGAACTCGGGTGTTTTCACACACACAAACACACACACATATACACTACTTTTCCTTCAAGCCCTGAACACTCCAAATCCATCTGCCTTTCTAAGTGGTCTCGGGCAGAAAGTCAAAGGCTGCTCTCTCTCGGAGAATGTGGTTGTAATTAGATAATTAATCAGGGGGGCAGTTAGAGAAAGCTGAATGGAAGCCTTCCTCAGAGAGGGAATAATTACAACCATTTTTGATATATGAGCTGTGCCAACCCTCCGAGGGGAAATACAGGATCATCCGTGAAAAGCCAAAAATGACAGCAGCCATCCCCCAGCAGTGGTGAGCTTTGGGCTTTGCTGCATATGCCCGCAGGGAGCAGCTTCATTAGTCTTCTTGACAGAGAAGCTGGGGGCCTGGGCCCCTTGATGTCACCCTGACCCCAACCATGTCTGCTGACACGGGCAGCGTTCTCGGCAACAAACACAAAACATCTGGGGCCCAGGGCTGCCTCCCGCATAGAACAGCCACCTGAAACCGTACGCATATGCCCTGTCTGGGGTTCACGCTCTGCTTCTGTCTGCCCTGCAGGGAAGGGGGGTAGCGGGCAGAGCAGCAGGGCCGTGGCTACGCTGAGAGAGCACCTTTGCTCCTCTCTCCCACACCGGGACCTTGGGCACCAGTGCACAGCAAAGGGTCTTCACTGATTCTTATTTCCAGGACCTAATCCAATAAGTGAAACACCAACATGAATTCTCCAAAAAGGGAGGCAGGGCGATTAAGGGGGCATTTATTATAAGGTCTTCTGTCCATCTACCCATGCACCACCGCACCCATCCATGCACCCACCTACCATCCACACACCACCCACCCTTCCCTCCTACCTTCTATCCATCCATCCATCCATCATTCCACCCACCCTCAATCCCCCCATCCTTCCGTTTGTCTACTTACCCACCCCTCCTTCCTTCCATCCAACCACCATCTATGCATCTACGCGCCCACCCACCCTTCCATCATCTATCCACCATCCACCGTCCATCCATCTACCCATCCTTTCATCCATCTTCCTAACATGTATGGAGCTTCTATCGTGTGCCAGAAATATTTTAAAAAGCCCAGAAAAGAATCTGAGAAATCTAAGAGGGGAGAAGAAACATGTTTGGAAACAACTAGAACACAGAGTAGACAGGGACAACATTTTTAACGGAAATGGCATTAAGACTGCAGCCAGAAAGGAAAGGGACAAAGGACCTTGAACTTCGCTGGACTGCTGAAAAAAAGCAGGGTAGGGAATAAGGAGGGAAATAATAAGGACACAGATATGTTACCTCTGGTCACTACAGCACACACACACACACACACACACACACACACACCCCTGGGATTTTGCCAGTGGAGGCTGGAGGGGCAGAACGTGAGGCTCAGGGAGCCAGGCCCTGCCCACACAAACCTAGGGGCATGGCCACGGAGGGCCTTGCTCTGGCCCTCACTGCCCCCTTAGGCAGGGAAGTAGAGGACTCTACCTCCACAGGACCCTTACATTGTCCAGGTCACCAAAAGGGGCTACCCCCTGCCAGCCGTCTCCTGTAGCCACCTGTGTCTCTCTCTCCTTCCAGTCACTACACTGAAAACATCCCCCCCGCCCCCCACCAACTCTTGGGCTCCCAGGTGCACTGGGCTCAGGGGAATATGCCATCTGGAGGTGAACGTTCATTGGTAGCTGACCACCTGCCCCCACGGGGGTCTTGCCCAACCCACAGGAAACAGCATCCCCACCCACCCCAGCATTCTTCGACCACCGTTCTTCAGCTGGGGCCCTCTGTCCCCTGGCTGAGCCCAGACACAGCCTCCTGGCAGTTTGAAGATGCCCCCCCACCCCCACCCCAGGGTGGGCTGGAGGCACAGAGCCCACCCACCCATGTCAATCTGACGGGCCCGTAAATACGAGTAGAAAACAAGGAATGGTTCACATCAGGACCACGGTGGGGAAATCGGCAAGCTGAGCACTTCATGAATGGCCCAAGCACAGGGACCAAACTTTCAGAATGGTGGAATTCGTCATTTGGAGAGAAGCCAGGGGAGTCTGGGTGGATAAAATGAGGATACTCCATTTTCAAAGGGAAACACAGCCAGGAAACAAGGAACACGCTCTTGGAAATCACAGAAAAGTATGGAAGCGGCATATTTTGCAAGAAATGGGAGCAAGATAGCAAAAGGATGAAAAATGATCAGTAAATCAGAGACTGACTCGCGGAGGTCTCCAGCATCTGAGCAAAAGACAAAGAATGTGGAAGGAGGGAGGA